AATTCAGTATGGTTTTAATTTCCATTTGTCTTATTATGAGATGGATTGGAGATCTTCTATTTCTTTGTATGTGCAAGCATATTTGAGAATGGGCAAGCATAAGTGTCTGGAGGTCAGAGGTCAAGCTCAGTCTTGGTTTTCAGGTGTTGTCTATTACAAGGTGGTTTTTTTTTTTTTTTACTTAGCCTAGGCTGACTGGCTAGTAAACCTCAGGGATCCCCCTGTTTCCGTCTCCCTGGTTCCTGGATTACAAAAGCACATGCTACCATGCCCAACATTTTGAATGTGGTTTCTGGGGATTAAACTCAGGCCCTCACATCCTTGCAAAGAAAGTACCCTACTAACTGAGCCATCTCTCCAGCTCCTTGAAATCTTGATTGAGAAACTTTCTGGCCAAGACATTCACGTCTGCTTTTTTACATAGATTTTTTAAAATAACAGCTGATAAGATGTGTCTTCTCACTTGTTTCTTTATTTGGACTTTTGAGTTACCTTGCACATTTTCTTAGTCTATTCTACGTAGCTGTAACAAAATACCAGAGGCCAAATATTATATAAAGAAAGATAGTTTATTTGGCTTAGTTTTCAAGGCTAACAGTCCCGGTCTATGGTTGGATGGCTTCAATTGGTAAAAGGCCTGCTTGGCTGTGTCACAGATAGTAGAAAAACACTAAAAGAAACAGTAATGTGTAGAAGGGACCACACACATGTTGGGATCTCAGTTTAAAATATCTTGCTCATACAAGTAACCATGTCACTGAAGACCTCTGTCAATCCTTCTCCAGGGTGGGTCTCAAGACTTAATCTCTACCTTCCACTAAGCCCCACCTTTTAAAAGTCCCTCTGCCTCCCAACATCCCCATACTCAGATGAGCTTCCAGTCATGAACTCTTCAGGCACAAATCTCATTTAAACCATAGCGACTTCCTCCAGAAAATTGTACTTTTGTTTGGCAGAGTTATTTATGGCTTAATTTAAGGGAAATCAGCATTTCTATTTCTTCCTATATAAATAAAGGGCATCTTTACACTTACTTTTTTCAGAGCATAAAGTAGATTATAAGGGTGCATTTGGGAGGTGGGGAGATGACTCAGTAGCTAAGAGTGCTTACTTAACTCTGAGCATGAGGACCTGAGTTCAAATTCCAGCACCCGATAGCCAGGTGTGTCTATTACTACAGCAGTGTGTGGGATGAAGGCAGAAGGATTCATGGGGCGTGCTGACTGGCAGCCTCTTTCTAGGTTCAGTTAGACACCCTGTCCCTTGAAAATAAGGCAGAGAATGATAGAGCAGGTTGCCTAACCTTTCCTTTGGCTTCCGTCCACATACACATGCCCCTGAACATGCGCACACATACCACGCACACATACCACGCACACAATCACATATACACATGTACGAATTAACAGAGGCACTTGACAAAGGATGGAGACTTGTGAAGTTTAGACTTAAAAGGTACAAGGGCAGAATTCAGTGGTTCTGGAGTGGTCCAGGAAGGAGATAATGGTGGGACATACACTAGGGTGGGACCCACGGACAAACTTAAGATCTCTCCAGATTGTAGAGCCCCCAGGAGGATACCTCTTAGACTGGGTGAGGGGACGGAATGGAGGGATGAGTGGGAAGGTGCTTTAGCTTTCCACTTGAGCCGCAGGGTGATAGTAACACTGCAAGGTAGAGGAGGCTCAAGTGAAGGCTTGCTTAAAAGGCCAGACCCAAAGGACCTTTCGGGTCACATGCCACCAATTAGAATCAAATAGGATGCTCACTGGGACTTCTTGTAACCTCCATGATATCTTTCTGTGAGTTAAAAAAATGGCACTCCTCCCGTGAAGACAGAGGTCCATGCCTTGTTGAGGAGTGTATGACCTGGATTTTAGCTGCTTCTCATTCTACTGTGTCTGGAAGACATGGGACTCACCTCTAACGGAGGCTTCTGACTCACCAGCTCTCTAAGCTCCACCGACAATGACCTCTGGCCCTTACCTTCTCCTTCTCATTTAGACCCTGGCTTATTTGCTTCAGGACCTCCTACTCACATAAATCTAACTATCTGCTTGCTTATACATCCTAATCTGCTGTCTTACCTTTCCCCAAGCTTTCTATAGGATGTTGAAAAAGTCTAAGTGATTAATTCATCTTGGCTACTATAAATCTCAGTGACAGGATTTTTCAGTACTTAAGAAGTTCCTACTGTCCAATTTGAAAATGGCTCAGTTGAAAGCAGACCTGGTGGTTTCCTAGAATAGGTTCTGTGAGGCAAGTCAAGACCACTGATGTTACCTAAACCACTCTAGTTTGAAACCGTCAGTTCAAGACCCTGACTTTGACCCTAGTACCATGCCTCTAGGGAGATGACACCTCTCTCCAAGGGGCATTGACTTTACGCCTCAAAGCCAGGAGAGACAGGGATTCTAACAAGGTCTATGTTCCAACTACCATTTTCAGCTCGTTTCCTGTTCGTATCCATGAAACAGCAGATTAAACATAATCACCAGTGCTGGCTGAGTACTGCCTCCCCTAGAGTTCTCTCCCTTAATCTTCTCCATTCAGCCCCACCATGGGGGTCTTCTCAGGTGGCTAGCAGGAGTGCAAGTTGACCAATCCCATGCTAGAAGAGTAGCTGTCTTAGTCACGGGCAATTCTCCACTCCAGGTGCACTGCCCTCTCTGGGCCAATTGAGCTCAAAGGAAGGTAGTTAATGTAATCACACTCAGCCCAGTTGTCAATCAATGTGCTTCCAGTTAGCCATTTCTCTCCATACCCACAAGGACGGAAGCAAGCAGGCAAAGCCGCAACGTGAAAGGAAAGAGACACTGTCTCCATCCTCTCTACTCACAGTTAAAAGCACTCACTCCCCTCCTCTCTGCACAGATGTCAGCCCGCTTCCCAGCCTGTCTGGTTCTTATACAGATTCCCTGTTAGGCTACTCAAGAAAAGGCAGCAACCCCACCCTCCAATTCTCTCCACCTCACCCTCAATGCCTCAGGGACATAGAAAAAAAAGTTCATCTTTAGTAAACATTTGAGGAAGACCCCTGTCCTAGGCAAACGTGGCTGTGTGAGGGGCTGTGGTTTCATTCCACTGTGCCCCATTCCCTCTACAATCATCGAGGAGTACACACTGCTGGCTTGAGATGCCCATATTGTTTTCTGGAGAATTTGATCGATTTTCCTAGTGCGCTTTGCTCTTTATTTTTCTCCTACCTATCCCCTCCTTGCTTCCTTGGCTTGGAAGTGTTGACATTTCTACCCAGATAAAATATCACTTGACACCAAGCACTGCCTGTGCTGGCTAGCCTCACCGTTTTGACACAAGCTGGTGGCAATGGAGAAAACGCCTCCTTCAGATTGGCCGGTAGGCAAGCCTGTGGGGCATTGTCTTAATTAGTAATGGATGGTGGAGGGCCCAGCCTATTGTAGGTGATGCCACTCAGGGATGGTGGTCCTGGTTGAGCAAGCCATGGTGAGCAAGGTAGTAAGCAGCAATCTTCCGTGGCCTCTGCATCAGCTCCCGTCTCCATGTTCTCTCCTGGTTTGTGTTCCTGTCTTAGCTTCTCTCAATGAACTGTGACTCAGGAGATGTAAGCCAAATAAACCCTTTCCCCTCCACTTGCCTTTGGTCATGGTGTTTCATCATAGCAATAAGCCATAAGACACTGGCTCACCAGATTGTAAATGGGTCAGCCGTGGGCCTGCTCTACTGACGGTCAGTCAGTAGCCTACACTTGTTTAAATGTAAAAGCTGCCTTTCCAACGAGAGTCACAATTAGGTAATTTAAAAAAATCATCTTTCATGGTTTATGGGATACTCTTTAAGCTGGTGTCCTAGACAATTTTCTTCCTTTAGAAATTTTCTTGAGATTTTAAAATTCCTGATCCTCTTGGGATCACTGGCTAGTACAGCTGTGTTCCGAGTTAAAGTATGTGTTTTCTTGATAGATTTAGCTCATGAAACTGTTTTGTGAACTTAGTGAATCTCAACAATAATGTAGCTGGTGTGATGGCTCGTGACTGTAATCCCAGCACTCAAGAACTCAGGAGGATTGCCTCGAGTCTGGGGCCAGCCTGGGCATAGTGGGACAATGAACTGCTTGCTAGGAGATGGTTGCTTCTGTTCAGAGATCTAGAATCTTCGAGGCAGGCCTAATAAATATTCAGCAGGCACTCAGGCGGCCCAGCCCCGTGTGCGCCCTAGCCCTGTGTGCGGCCTTTGCATATAGATGCATTTCAGCTACTCTTTCACAAGTAGCTTCACTTGGTAATTTACAAATGTGCTGGCTGAACTCTACACCTGCCAGTATCTCAGCAATTAGTTTAGGATTCAAAACGATTTCTAAATTAAGGATCTGGACATGTAAAATCAAGAGAGCCTGATCATGGGGCACCACAGCTCTGATAGCTAATGAATAATGAGATCACAAACCAGGACAAGTCTTCATGCGTTTTACCGGGTGATAATGACTGTCATATAAATCTATACAATATGCAGGTGAACTGCAGGTCAAAGACCGAAGGTAGGTAAAAGGCCCCACGATCAGTCAATCAAACCCGCTCCCTTTTACCTACTCTGTACAGAGTGAGGATTAGAGTTTGGGCATTTTAGTAGCATAAACTAGAGTGATATTTTAGTCGGGTGGAAGAGGCTGATAAAACCGGTAGAGGCTGATAAAACGCCAGTAAGACCCAGAAATGCCTGTGAGTCCAGGTAACTTGAGAATAGGTTGCCTATGTACCTGTTAAGGAGGGTGGCATCGGGGACCCGTGCCTGGTTTCTCCAGGACAGAACTTCCATCCCAGAAAGAGGAAAGTGTGAGCAGGGAAGCGGGAGTGGGAGGAGGAAGGTGGGAAGAGGAGGAGGCCCGGCACGACAAGCGGAAGGAGAGGAGGAGAAAAAGAGGGAGGAGGAAGCAGAGGAAAAGGGAGGAAAAGAAGTAGGCGGCGGAGGAGAAGGACCCGCCCCTCCTGGCTTCTTCCTGGGCTGGGCATCTCCAGGGCCTCCCCGGGACCGCCGCCCTAGACTATTCGCTGGGCTCACAGGGAGCCCCGAGGACGCCTGTCCTGCTCCGTGAGGCGCAGCGCAGCGCTGGGAAGAGGCCCCAGGATCGCGCCTCGCGCGTCCCCGCCTCGCGCGTTCCCACTCCAGCCCGCGCGCGCGCGTGCACCCGTACACACGCTAGCTCTCCGGGCATGCGCAGTGGGCGGCGCCGCTCCGGGCCGCCTCTTGCTGCCGCCGCGAGTAGGAAGCGCGAGCGCCGGGCGCCTGGCTGTCAGTGAGCGTGGGGCCAGCCAGCGAGCGAGAGAGCCGGAGAGAGCCAGAGAGAGCGGCTTCGCTCCCAGCTCCGAGCAGCGCAGCGCCGGCCCGGCTCTCCCCGGCCACCGCCGCCGCCACCACCGCACCTCTGCACCGCCACCTCGGCCGCCGCCCCCGCCCACCCCGGCCCTCCCCGGCTGCTGCTCCCCGGCGGAGGCAAGAGGTGGTTGGGGGGGACCATGGCTGACGTTTACCCGGCCAACGACTCCACGGCGTCTCAGGACGTGGCCAACCGCTTCGCCCGCAAAGGGGCGCTGAGGCAGAAGAACGTGCACGAGGTGAAGGACCACAAATTCATCGCCCGCTTCTTCAAGCAACCCACCTTCTGCAGCCACTGCACCGACTTCATCTGGTAGGTGCGCGCGGTTGCCCGGGGGACCCGGGAGCCACCTTTGCCCGGGGACTGGAGCTCGGGGACGCCTCCAAGCCCAGGCGAGTCCACACACTCACGGACAGGACTCCTCCAAGAACTTAGAGTGCCTGGCCGGAGTCCGAACTCTCGCCTGGAGTGACAGGCGCGCACCCACGCGGGACACTCCCTGGGAAGTGGCCGGGCGATGCCTCGCATGCCCTGCCCTGAAGGGACTCTTGGTCAGAAAAGGGGTGACACGGATGGCGGGGAGGGGTGGAGTGGTCCCCTCTACTCTTCTGGGGCACACTGGTCTTCCCCATAGTCAAGCGGAGAGGCCAGTGTGGCCCGATGGGAACGAAGGAAAAGGGAAGGAGAGAAGGCTGGAGGCAGAGTGGCCCCAAGGCGCGCGACAAACACGCCCCGAGTAGCGGGGAGCCGCTGCGCTCCACTCCAAGTTGCTGGTGAGCCAGGCTGGGCGCGTTCCGGGGAGTGTTTGTGCTTCGCGTCAGGCTGGGACTCCACTGGAACCTTGGGTCCCTGCCTACTGTAGGCTGTTTCTACTGGGCACGGAGACTTTGACTTTTCTGGGTGAGCCCAGAGGAGGGAGGGTGGGGAGGGAGAGAGATGGGAGGCAGCAAACTGTTGAAAGCTTGCAGTGGGGGTGGGGGGGGGGGGGAGGCTAACCCAGCAGGCAAATGGCAGAGGGCAGAGGGAGTCATTTAAAATAGACCCTGTCAACAGGAGATTAGATTTGTAACCCCGCTGATGAGGACAGAGGGCTTATTTAAGACAAATACTGTAATGGCTAAAGGTGTCAGCGTTCAGGTGATTTCCAGTGAATGCGGAGCCTTGGTAACTGAGGGGCTTGATATATGGAAGGGTTCAGGGGTCTCTCTGGAGCCTGCAAAAACTAGGTGAGATTGTGTTTATGCAGATTTATGCTTTTTTTTTCTGGTGAGAATTATAGCTTTCATCTGAGTTTCAAAATGTCAGTGAACCCCTCCCGCCGTGCCCCCAAATCCCAATGTTTAGCAATCTGGAACTAACAGAACACCCAGTCCCCCTTCCCTCCCACCACTTTGACACCCTGACGCGTCTTCATGTTTTTGGAGTAAGAAGTTCCTTATAAGCAAGAGCTATGGCTGGGACTCCTTAGCTCCCTCCTGGGTGGGGAGTTGCAAGGGGGTGACAGAGCGCCTAGACATCAACCGGTCACCGGGCTGGCACGATACATTTTGGGGTTTCCGAATGTATACAGGATGGATGGCTCTGAGTCCATGCCATATAGAGAAAAGAATGAAAGGGGGAATCCCACCATCGGGGTGCCAATAAGATGCTTGGTTTTTCCTTCCTTTTAAGAAATCATTCAACAATGCACACTGGTGAACAACACAGCCACGCTACAGTTTCCATAATGTAGTTAGCGTCTGAAGCAATCGAACTCAAGGAGCGGGTAACTGTAGATAAGGCTACTTAAGGGCAAAGAGAGGATATTACATTTGGCAGTTTGCAGCCTCCTGTGTTAACTCTGAGATTCTGTTCAAAGGGGGACAGACTGCTGATTGCTTCTGCTGGAAGTAGATAAGTTAGAAAAAGGACTTACATTATTACCAAGCTAACTAGTGAATCTGCACGATCACTGCCCAGAGGATCAGTGCCCGGTGAGCTGATGAGGTCCTCAGGTCACCAGGTGCACTGTGATGTGGAAGTAAAGATTCCTGCTCTCTTCTACTCTGAATAGACCCCAAGCAAGTACTTCCCTTAATCTGAAAGTAGCCAGTTGGACAGCTAGGGAATCCCCCACCAAGATCATCTTGCATAGGGTTAATTTCTCTGTTTTCCTTCATTATGGCTTCTGTGAGTCTTTCATTTACAGTTTTATTTCAATATTTAGCACTGGTATTTTAAAGCTATGCTTGGATTTAATTTTTTGGGGGGGGATGACTTTAAGATAATTATAAAGGAATGTGGAGTACTTTGTAAACTAAAATGCTATGCAAAGCAAGAGATTCTGAGCTACCTCTGAGGACATTTTGATGCAGTTCATTCTGTTGGAACAGTATTTATAGTCAAATATCCACATCAGGGCTGTCTGTTTACTGAGTCAATTCTCTAGAATGAATTACAGGTGGGGAGTGGTCTCAGTGTATGCTTTGAATGTCATTGGTTCTCAATGAAAATTAGATCACGGATAATCTCAAATGCAAGCAATAGCAGTGATGTTTTATCAAATTGGGTGCCTTCAGGCAAAATTAAATGTAGACAGTGGTGCCATTTGGCAATTTCTAGATACATACTGTTTGAAACAAGTTTCTAACAAGCTACTTTTTAGTAGTCTTTAGGGAGAAAAAAATTACTTTGTTCAGGAATAAAAGTAAGCCACCACCATTTTAAAACCACAAGCTCCATTTTGTCATTCAAGTATTGTAGTCAAGAATTTTGAGTATAAAGTCATGTTCTTGTTTTAAATTTAAGAATCAATCACAAACTAGAAAAGAATAGAGAGAAGCTTGATAATAGTTCAGCGGTCATCTATAGACAGATTCACTTGTTTATTTTAAAAAGATGAATGTGCATGTTCATTTAAATTAGATACTTCGGCACCTTTTTTTTATCAAGCCATTGGGCTCCAAGTATAGACTTTGAAACCCTGTAGAATACTTGTTCATATAACTTGTTACAATGTGGTCTCAATGAAAAGGATGCTAAGTTACTTGTTCTTGTTTTGTTTTTCAGGGGGTTTGGGAAACAAGGCTTCCAGTGCCAAGGTAAGCTGCCTCAGTGGGCTTCATTTTCAAATACATCCAGCAGTGGGCTCTGCACTCGGAAACTGCACATCTGCTCACCTTTTCTCTGTGGTCCCCAAGATATGTTATTTATATAATATTGTTTTAAAAGACAAGTGATATTAGTATGGTCCTTTTAAGAAAAATACCACGTGATATTGCCTGTAATCCACACATCAAACTGCCTTTTTCTCATTGAAGTCTTCCTATAATTTTATTTTTTGCCAAGAACATTCTTGTCAGAAACTGCTGTCTTTGTGTGGGTGTTGGGGGAGGGAATCACTTCATATTCATGCAGCATTTCTTTTCCGTTTTTCTCTTTGTTTTGTTTCTCATTCCCTCCTCCATACCTTGGGTTGAGGCAATTAATTTTAGGCTATATATCACTCTAAGAAAGTTGTGTAGATCACCTATTGTCACCAGGAACAGAGTATTCACACTTTGCCATTATGTCAGCTATATGAGAGTGACGGACAGCTCTAGGATCACTGGTGGTTTTATGCCTTTCCTTCACCTTCTGTATACGAGTGCATGAATGCTCTCCTCTGGCAGCACCCACTGGCCTTCCTCTCTGACCTACAGTTGGTGCTCACCCAAACCAAAGCCACCATCACTGTGTGGCCATCAGTTATCTAACGTTTTATATTCTCTATCGTATCTATTGAATTGGATAAATTATTCCTTTTTAGCTTGCAGATGCATTTCAGGTTCGCTAGCTCACCTTCTGGCTTGCCTGCTCATCGTCTATAGCATGTTTATTTAGTTCGGGTTACATTTCCCATCTGGGCATAGGTTTATTATTAGGGCGAGTGGAAAGTACATTCTAGCCTGGAAAATATTGTCCTAAGACTGTCTCTTATTAGTGCATTAGGGAAAGGCACTGTATGTGCTTTTCTGTTTTGCAAGTGATGGTGTATTACTAAGTTGATTATCTTTTTGTAAACTTCCAATTTGGTGAGCTTGTTTCTAATAGACATATTAGAGAGGGGACATTTTACAGCATAATGATCATTAATACTGTACCTTTCTTAATTCCGTGATGTGCTTAAAACCCTGATTGAATGAGTCATTTTGAGAGCTCCATTTGGAGATGAACGGATATTCCTTTTTAAACAGAATAAAAAGGAAAGCACATTGGAGCAGCCTCTGTAACAGATGAAAGGAAGACCTTGGTTTTTAAAGTTGTGGGCCTGAACTTTATAGGTTAGATTTGGGTCTAGGTTGGAATGTGATTTTAGGTAGTTGAAAGATGCAAATGAGATCTGAGTCTGTTACTATTTTGACAGTGGCTTTGGTTTGGGTCAGTGCCTATGGAAACTTACAAGAAAAATGTTAACTGAATTTCCTCTAATATTACTTGTCCAAGGAGAAAGTAGGTATGTTGTCTTAAAACTATTATCTTTTCTTTTCTTCCATGAAAATGATTCAAAGTCAAGGGGGTTTCTACCAGCCCACTGGTCAGAGCAGGTTTCGTTGGTGAAGTCATAGGGTGGCCATGATGCACGGTCACCAGGAGTTCTGCGAGATGTCCTGCTGTTTCGACGGATTCTCAGGTTATCAGCCTCGCACCTTCGTAACTCCCCTTTATGTGATTTCTTTCTTAAAAGTAGACTTGTAGCATCTTTACAAACTGAAATAGCACACCCCTTTCTCTTTCCACCTCTCCCAGGGATAACGTCTTTCAAAAAGTACCCTTTTAGTCTCTGTTTGCACACGCTTACGGTTGTAAAAGAGCTGGAACTTCTATGTGGTTTGTGCAGGTGCATTGTTTTCCCTCAGTGTGTGCTAAATAGCCGTCCGTGCCAGCATCAGCTCTTCCTGATTCTGTGCAGTGGCTTCATGTGTGGTTATTCATCCTTGTCTCCACTTCTGTGCATTTCAGTTGCTACTAAGTTCTCAGAGACACCATGATAGAACTAGGGTAGGTATTTCTAGAATAGATACCCAGAAGTGTGGATGTAGCATTTTAAATTTTAATGAGTACTGTAGAGTTGCTGTCCAAAAGGGCTCCAATGTACAGTTCACTCTGAATGTAAAGCATGCTTGCCCTTCCCTTCACTCTCTGGGTAGAGAGGTTGCTACAGAAATCCATTCTTTCTTTGCTAATGTCAGAGGGGAAAATGGCCTTACTTTCAACTTCTGTCTCCTGAGTTACTAGTGAGCTCAAATGTTTTTTCTTTCCTTTTTATTTTTTTTTCAAATGTGCAGTAGCCATTTGTATTTCTTCTGTGACTTGCCTGACTGGATTTACAATAATATTGGATTTACAAACCACACGAATGGAACAAATAGGCTTTATGTCCAGTTCTTTGCTTTGAAGAATTTACCTTCCAATTGCTTTAAGTGATGGATTTCCCTAGTGAAGGCACACATTTTAATTCACAGTAACCTTCTCTAGGATGGAGGTATTTCAAGGTGCTATCTGCTCACTACACCTCATTTAGTTTGCATCATCTGTGCTTGATTCCTTGCGGCCATATTGTATCTTATTGTGGTAACTTAATTAAGAAAGAGGCTATGCCCAGGACAGTCCTTTTAATCTTCCAGGAGTCCTTAACCAGCCTGCCTTGCTTTTAATGCCTCCCTAAAATCAGTGCTCCTCTGAGCACCTCACCATTTTACAATAATTTTATCTTACTGTTCTCTGACCTCTTTCCCTTTGATTCTGGTTGTTATAAAGTTATTCCTTTTCAGGAGGCAATCTCATCCTCATCCACACATTGGACAGCCCTTTCCTCCAAATAGCAGCAGGAGTTTGGGGAAAAAAAGTAGTTTTGGGAAAGGGTCTCACTGTGTAGCTCTGACTGGCCTTGAACTCGCAGAGATCTGCCTTCTTCGGCCTCTCAGAGTCCTGGAACTAAAGACGTGTCACACCTGGCATTGAAACTTTTTATATTCTTTTTTTTTTTTTCGAGACCGGGTTTCTCGGTATTGTTTTGGAGCCTGTCCTGGAACTCGGTTGGTAGACCAGGCTTGGTTTCGAACTCACAGAGATCCACCTGCCTCTGACTCCCGAGTGCTGGGATGAAAGGCGTGCACCACCACCGCCCGGCTGAACCTTTTTATATTCTTGAAATGTTAGGTTTTCACTACCTGATGACAATAGTTTCTAGTTACAGAAGCTGTTTGTTTGGTCAGTAGGTAAAAAAGTCATAGCAAGTGTACCCTCTTCTTCCTCCCCTCCCTTTCCCTTCCTCTTCTCCCCTTCTCCCCTTCTCCCTGTCCCCTCCCTCCCTGCCCCCTACCTTTCTTCCTCCCTTCCTCCCTCCTTCTCTTCTCTGCCTCTCCCTCTTCTCTCTCTTTTCCTCTTCTTTTTTTGTTTGTATGTTTCAAGCAAGAATCACATATCCAAGTCACAAGTAATAAGCTCTCATAATTTTACTTAGTGAATGATAAGAATTAAAACACTAAAATAATAATAAATGAATTTTAGCCCTAAAAACTGTGTTTGTAATCTGTGTCACTAAGAAAAGATTTTATCATCACATGGAACACTTAAGTTTATTTCCTTGACCAAAGATTTGACATAAATGGAATTGGGGAAACTTCTGGAATAGTGTTGAGTTACTTCCACTCTCCCAAAGTGGATGTTGTACCATTCTTATTTATATTACATTGTGGTTGTACAACTCTGAAAACTGATATTACAAGGACTGGTAACCCAGGAGGATCCTAATTGAGAATTTACTGTTTGGATGATGATAAAACCAAGAGTCTTCATACTGGGGAGAAGAAAAAAAGAAGTTCATGGTAGGCCCAGAAGCCATGAAATAGCTTCCTTAAGTTCTCCAGGGATCAAGAGAACCTCGTCCTTTTGTAGCTCTTAAAGGTTGGCCAGTAGGCTTGCATTCTCCTTTTGGCATTCTCCTTTTGGATGTTTTCTGCTTCCTGGTTTTTGACTTGGTGACTCCCATGTTCATTTCTTCTCCATAACATTGGCAGATAGCTGAAACTCATCCACAATTTCCTTTTTTTTTTCTTTTCAGAGAAAGGGAAGTAAATTTGTTTTGTCTAGGCCTTGATGACCCCGAGTTTGCCTGTTAGTTAGTCAGGGAGGTATGTTTCCAGGAAGGATTTCTATTTTGCATCAGCTGCTTCCAAATGCAGTTGTCTAGGACAGTCCTTGGTACTGCTCTCACAGAGCCTGGTCCTCTGGGGCTATCTGCTGCTTTCACTACTGGAAATGGGAACAAGCCAAGTCATTTTTTTTTCCTTCTCAGAGTTAGCAACAGCCCTGCCCGTCTCTAATTACAGCGGTCGAAGCAGCCTCTGAAAACGTGACCTGCTTATTTGAAGTGCCCAGCAGTTGCTCACGTAGTTTGTTACATCTAGTTAGCCTCTGAATTTTTCTTCCATTTCTTTTTCTATTGTCTCTCTTTTGTTTAATCTCACACATTAAAATGAATTTCCAGCCCAGACTGTTTGGTTGCGATATCTGTTCAGATAGCATCCAAACTCAGTCGTACATGCAGCTATAATCAGTAGGAGCCCATACACTGCAGGGTCAACCCTGAACTCTCAGAGCTCTGTAGGAGTGAATCTGCATTTCTCCACTGCTCAGTGGTTAGGGATCTTGAACTACTCTCTTGCTAGGGACACACATACCACATCCTGTCCTTTACCTGTGACTCTACTGAAGCTCCAACTTTTCAGTAGCTTTTCAGTCAGCTTTTCTTTTGCTTTGCTGGTGACATTTTATTTAGAATCCCTATGAATATACCTGATGAGGATGGGTTTTGCATGCCCTCAAAAAAGTGAAAATTGGTGTTTGATTGGGAAAGAGGATAGAAAGAATATTTATCTGCCCTGGGCTGGTACAAGCTGAGGGATTCTGCAGAGAGACTCATTTAATGGAAGTTGACCTTTTTTTGAGACAGTGTTTCATATGGATCAGGCTGACTCTGAACTTGCAGTGTAGCTGAGGATGACCTGTAACTTCTCATCATCTTACCTCTGTCTCCCAGGTGCTGACACTATAGGCA